TGTTTTAAATCTTATAAAACTATGTCTTTTATGTAAGCCCGTACTTCGCACTAATTTGAAATCGATGTAACTTTCATGTGGTTGCCAAGTAAATAAAATTCAAATGGGCACTGTGAAGATATTAAAAGGCATACTACCAAATTTGTTCTTGGACATTTAGAATAACACGTAATAAGAAGCATGATAAACATCAGAGATATTTGTGTTTTACCAGGATATAATGTTTTACATTGAAGTAGGCGTATCTTTAGATTACGTACATTTAACAAAAATATCTGGCGACACATTGTTTATATATAACACTTCTACAGATTGGAATGTTCATAAAATATTCTGTGATCAATGTTTTATCGTCACGGCCCCGTATATATTTAAATAATTGGTAAGTATTGAAAGATGTTTTACTGGTGTTCTATACTTGACAAAATTTTTATTATTATTAATCATTAAAAATAGATACAAATATGCAAATTTATTCAGCATTGACCGATATTTTATGTGTGTTGTATATAATATAATATACAGATCTGAAATTGTCATGATCAGACATAACTATAAATTCTATAATTCTATAAAATTAAATGTTCATTTTGAATAGCATGTGCTAAACTCGTGCTACCCGAGAGTTATGTCGAGAACTGAAACTTCAACATTTTCAGGTGTCGCGTCTTGGTAATGTTTTATAAGCCACGCTTACCAGACAAAGCACAAATACAGTTCATGGTTTTACTTTATTTTCGAATATATATAGGAAAGCCTATTATCTATGAAATTGCTATGAATAATTGTACCACGTAGGTTTGTTTTCAAGTTGTTACACCAGTTGTAATTTTTGTATGCAGTAAAAATTGAATTTTTGAAGTAAAACTGTCTAAAAAAGAAGCAAAATGAGCAAGTTGGCTGTTTCCAACATAGGAATTATGATAAATAATATATTAAAATGAAACAAAATATATGAACAAATAATAATTAACTACATATTTAAAAATAAAAAATTCGAAACGAGAATCTCATTTTAATCAGATTGCGTCATTAGGTGTCAGGTGTAGGTCACGTGGTAGTGGTATATGTCAGCAGGAGTGAAGTGAATCTCCACAAAAGGCTAGATAAATTACCGAAATGAATCACATTGTAATACATGTGTATGATTTCAGATATTTACTGGGTGTACTTGGAATCGAGCTTTATTGTGAGAGCAGGATTGTTAGAGCGCCATCATTGTTTGACTTTCCGAAATCTATACATCAGTACACCCTCAACGTTCAACATAAAACACAATAACATGACACCTATAACATAACTAAGCACATCGCTGATTTGTAAACAATATTACGACACCCCCCCCCCCCCATAACAAGGACGCTCTAGCTATTTATAGGTTATCTCGTGTTCCTAAAAAAGCATAACATTGTTTGAGGAATTGTGGCTTTAGAAATTGTGAATTTTACACAAGAACTTCATTCACATCTATATACAAAAAATATCTATCTGTCACAGTGTAAGGCCTGCTTATCGCTAATGAGGGCACCCACAGAACTCACATTAGACAGGGGGTTCTTTCACTGCTAGTACGGGGTAGATAAGACATTAGTACTGGGAATGGAATACACATACACCAAAATATCAAATTCAAGCTCCTGGCTTTAATATATCTCAAAATAATTACACGAAACAGAGCACAGAAAAATACAATGAATAAATTCACTAAAATAGGGGATTGCCTAGAGAAGTGTGCATTGGTGATAACTCACAGTTCCAGGATGTAGAAATAGAGACGGTCACAACAACGAAGAAATACAAGAGTCCTGCTTGCAGAGAAATGCTGTTATTCTGGAAGGCACCGCTGAAAGCAGGAGATCGCAGAGCAGTTCGTACAAGTCCCACAGAATGATGGTTGAAGCCTGTATCACTTGTCTCACAATATCGCAGTAGCTACACACAGGATACACATGTACAGTATACATAATGAACCCCAACTGTCCTCAGTCTGTCCAATTTATAGGCACAAATCGCCCAGATTCAGTGACACCACCTGGGTTTCCGCAAATAGACAAGACAATAGTACTCGATATTTTTGGTGTACGTGTATTTCATTTCCATTACTATTGTCTTGTCTACCCCACTCGAGCATGAAAGAACCCCCTGTTTAGTGTTCTGTGGGTGGCCCTCTCAATTGCAATAAACAAGCCTTACACTGTGACACTATCTATTAATAAGTATACTAGTACGTAAATTAAAACTGTGTGTGTGCATAACTTTACATAAATAAATATTAAAAACTATATTTAAATGTCACTAGCCATACGACACATATGCTGTAGTGACTAAAAGACTGAAACACAGTTGTTAACAGTTGTATTCTAGAATTTGAAAAACTATAATTTAAAATAAAACAAGGCAAAAAAGTATTTCAAGGAGATTTCATTGGTATATTGGGAACGCATATTCGATAAGGGTCTGACCATTTTAAATTATGGGGGGCTGGAAGATTTGTTGTGCTAACTTGCAGCGTAATAAAATGCATACAGGAGAGAAAAAATGACACATTCAAGAAAAATCAAAACGTATAGATTAGACACCGCGAAAATAAACGCACTGGTCACACATTTCTAGCCACTCCCACGATTTCAAAAGGTTAACTCCCAAAGAAGTATGGATGAGATTTCTTTGAACTATTATCAATCGTGGATATGTGTTGAGTAAGTTACCGCACTAAATTTGGATATAGACAAAGCCAAGAATTACGATCGTGAATCATCATAACCCCACCCCATATTAACATATCTGATAGCAACTTCCATATAAATTTTGAAAGCAACTTGAGTCACAAACTATGGCAAGTGAACCAGTTGTTTGAAATGTGCCAAGAAAGAGGGACACATACCGACGTTCCGAAAGTTCCGGAATGTCCAAGACGTTCGCAGTTTCTGGACTGCTAAACTAACGTACGCTTTACAAGTTGATGGGACTATATCAGTGATTGCTGTAATACTAGACATAGTTTGTGATATAGAAAAACATTGTAGAAGAATGGCTGTTTTAGTAATTTTCTAGGTCAACGGTTAAAGTAAATTCATCCATAATTTAAATCTACACCAAATATTTCAAACCATTACACATTTCAAATAAACACATTGGAGCTTTTCTTGAAAATCAGTCGTGTTTTTGTACATATCACCATGGCGTGAAAAACCTCATCGAGACGAATAACACCACTGATGAACTTTTGGTTTTTTATTACTTCAAAAGATCCGGTAACTTCAGCAAACATTTCTTCTGAAAAACTTCTATTTATTCTTCTTAGGATTAGAGAAATATGTGCCGGATTAAGATTTCAGCGCGTCATGCCTTGAGCTGATTTGTGAAAGTCCACTGCTTGTGTGACGGATTACTAGTGTATAACTGGACAACAAGTAACTAGCAATTATTTGGCTGAGCAAAAGTTTGAATTTAATGATATCATACTAAACGCTTACACTGTCGCATATTGGTGTAAACAGTGCCGGGTGTCGTGCGTTCTTTTGAAGTTTGTGAATTTCGCACTAAAATATTTTTTAACGTACAGTTGTTGAATCAATCTGAATATTTCTGTTTGTATCCAACTCCAACTACTCCTTTGCTGTCTTCATCTACAGATGTGGGTTCTTTATAGTTATTTCCGTAAGTTGGACCTGGAATGACTTCGCTTACTACGTGGTCGTCTTCGGGAGGTTTATAACAGACGAGGGCAAATACCAAAAATAAGCATGTCAGTCCCATGAAAATCACGCCCGCTATGAAGATTTTCATGCCGAATAGGAAGTTGTCATATATCCAACAAGAGCCGGTCGTGTCGCATGTTTGTTGCCATACCACGCATGCGCTGTCGATGATTGCACCAAATATGATAGGCCCCGGTACAGAACCTGTGTGGTTAATAAGGTGTTGCAATATCAGACAGTGCATAATAAAATTAACATTCAATATATTATGTCTAGCAGCATCATATAGATATAGTGAAACCACGTGATCTTCAATTCATGCAAATTTTCTAAGATTGAAATCAAAACACCGAAGTTACATCGAAAAAGAATCATTTTACGTGAACGTGTGAACATTTTATTTTAGGGAACTTTACAGATTTAACACAAACAATTAGCTTTTATTCTGTTGCTCTTTAATTTGCCACTATTCGCCTCACTATAAATATCTATAATTATTGAGATTGTGTAAAGTTTGAAAAAAGTCGTCTGTGTTTACACCAGGTATCACGTTTTTGTTTGCTCAGTGTTATGGTAAGTACTAGAATACCGCCACTGAGTTCACGGACACCAGCAAGGTACGAGGTTCATCGGTACAACCGACGATGCGAGTACTTAACACGAAAGAAAAGTTAATGCAGCA